TATATATATATATACATGTATATATATATATGTAGCCTGTCAGATCAAAACATGTCGTAGGACTTCAATGTTCATTCTGAGTTATAGGTGATTTTTCACCTAAAAGTAGTAAAAAGCCGATTTTTTTTGGGGGTCATAAATACCTTTATACCGTTTAGCAGTTATCCATGTTCGATGTTACATCAATAAAACTGGCCAAAAGTGTGTCTTTATGTATTTATTTGCGTGTCCAAAAAGTTCAGATAATTAATGTTTTAATTACCCTAATTAATTACCTGAATTACTTACCTTAACTGTAAGCTACCATTTTCGTATTTCATACAGTGGATGGTTATTATGTCTGGTACGTCCATGCAAAAATTCATGTGTCTAGCAGCTCTAGCTCAATAGGAAGATATTTTTTCAGATTTTTGTCCAAATGAAGGCCAAATGAAAACAAACTTTAACTTTATGACCTAATTACTCTGAACTTTGTTTTACAAAATCGGCCTGATTCCAACTACTCAAATGCTCATAACTTCCGAACCATGTGACCTAGAAAGAAGATCTTGGTGTCAAAATAACCAGAATTGAATGGTCTTTCTGATAAAACTACTAACTCATAATGTCCGAATTGAGTCCTATGGCATGTTTTGATCTGACAGGCTACATATGTATATTCTTTTTTTTTTAAATTGGGCCAAATAGAGCCATGACAGGTTGAGTTGCATGTTGTAATGTGTTTGACTATATGATATGATAGCATATATATGCTATGTGATATGGTATGAGATCATATATGTTATGATATAATGTGATGTGGTATGATATCATATATGTTATATGATATAATATGATATGATATGTGATGCGATGTGATATGGTATGATATAATGTGATGATCATGTGATATGTTGGCATGCATGCATATGGGCGTGCGCGTGTGCGTATATGGGCGTGTGTGTGTGTCGTGACCTGCATTCTTGGTGTCGGCTTCCTTGCACGCTCTCGCTTCGTCTCGGCAGACATGGAGCTGGAAGATAAAGACTCGCTTCTCACGTCGCTGTCGGACGCCGAGTCGCAGCAGATGAGGAAACGCAAGACGATGATCTATACAAGCAGCGAATCCGAAGATGAGGCGGGGACCGAGGCGCGGAAGATCGCCGCCAACGAAAAGGAGGACGAGGGTAATCGAACGCGGTTCTTTCTTTGGAGTTCTACTTGTTTTCTTGTTTTTGTTCTTATTACTAGAGCCCTGTAGACCTGGAGACCTTGAGGTTTTCAACCACTGTGCCAGGTCCTGTGTGCTGCAGTGGCTAGGTCGAATGTAGTGTAGTGACCGAGAAGAAGAAGATGATTTTCTCTGCCTTTATTTTAGATTCCTTTTATGTTAAGAGCCGAGGCGTGTCGGGTGATATTTCTTTGAGGAAGTTTTTTTCATTATTTATTAATATATCTGTATCTATATATGTATATATATATATATTTATTTATTTATTTATTTAAGCAATTTTTAACCAGGTACATTCTGCACCTGTACAGTGCACACGACTGTTCACCACAAAAGCTCAAATGAGATCTCGCGTATTCTATCCAGTGGGAATCGTGTGTCATGAATCATTGTCACTGGAGTTCTGTTGACGACGCTAGTAGATGGGGAAGGTGGAAGCGCATGCCGGCTTCGTGAAGCCTTGACCGCGTTTGTTTAACACGCTTGTCCGTTCTCGCGTCTCGCTAATCTCTCGGTGCGCTTTACAGAGGAGAGCTCCGCGGAAGAGGAATCCGAAGCGAGCAGCGAATACACGAGCAGCTCGTCAGAGGACGAGGAGGAAGAAGAAGAAGAGGAGGAGGAAGAGGAAGCCAGACCGGCCTCCTCGATGTCGGATGCCGAGGGGGATGCTGTGCGAGAGGAGGAGGCAGAGGAGGAGGAGGAGGAGCAGGAGAGAGAGGTTGTCGACTTGAAGGAGGAGCAGGCGAAGAAGCAGGAGATCGTGAAGAAGCTGTTCCGGATGAAGAAGGAGAAGGAGGAGACGGCGGCGCAGGGATCCGAGACGGAGACGGGAGAGGAGGAGATGGAGACGGAGCTGGTAGACGGCAAACTGTGAGTGCGAGCGAGACGAGAAAGACGAATCCGCCCTTCCCCTTACTAACCCGGGAATACCTTCGTATTAACGTCAGTTTATAAAATCAATTTACAGTGACACACACATTTACTTGAATTTACGTGGAAATTTTCTAATGAATTTCGAATGTTTTTTAAATGATGTTCAAGTCTTGTTCTATATTGCATCGCAAATCTGTTTTATATATCTGTCTGTATCTTTAACCGGACCTTTGTACCATCAGTGATCCTTTACATTATTGTTGACATTGTGTAAATTGAATTGTACAATATATATGTACTTTTGGAAACAACGATTATTATAAAAAAAGAAGTCTTGTTCTATGACAAGAATGGTAACACCCACTCTGTTTACTTTGTACGTTTTCAGAATAAACAAGGAGGTGAAGGAGGTCGTGAAATTGGAAGCGAGTGAAACCAGGTGAGTTAGCATTTATCGGAGACTTGGTTAGTAGAGCGTAATTTTCGCGTAAACTTAAAAAACTTGTAACTGCTTAAAAAACTGCTAAATACATGGGTAGCCAACATGATGTGATAACCGTGTCGGTGAAGGAAAGTCTTTCGTCTAATTCCTCCACTCTTCTCCTGTAGTAACGATTAGTTTAGAGAAAGTAAAGTCTTCCTCTGATTTCTACCTCTTTTCTTTAATTCTTCTGCTTTTCTCCTGCAGTAACGATTAGTTTAGAGAACGTATAGTGGTGCTTCTATACTTCCTCTCACTTTCCTCTAATTCTGCGTTTTCTCCTGCAGTAACGATTAGTTTAGAGGAGTAACGTCCTCTCTCCTATATCTGTTTGATTCCTTCATCTCCTTCTCGCGCAGTAACGAGGAAGCATCGACGTCGAGACCGATCGGACACCGACGACGACGACGACAAAGCCCAGTGGCAAGTGCGACGACTTCATCGATTCTACGAGACCATCTCCTCGCTCCTGCACAAGGCTCCCTCTCCCGGCGACCCCTCCGTTGCCGGGAGGCGACGACGCCTCGTCCCGATGCTCGTCGACACTGCTACAGCCTCCGCCGAGCAACCGCCCCGCCGAGAACCGGGGCGCCCCCTGGCGAGCCATCGAGAATCGGCCGCTGCTCGACCACGACTAACCTTCTCGGCGGGAGAGACGAGGACACGATCAGCTCTGGCGATCGACTCCGTGCTGCGAGCGCCGCCTGCGACGCCGCCGTCGCGAAGCCGCCGCGCTCGGGAAGCGGCCCCGCCGGTCCCGCGTCGTGCCGGCGAAACTGCCCTGCCGGTGCGGCGGAGGCCGACGCTGGCCGCCGCGCAAGCCAGTTCGACGAGTGGCGCAACTGTACGAGCTTCTGAACTCGGGGGTCGACGCGGCGAGACGTTGCCTACCTGCGTCGCGGCTGACGAGCGATGATGGCGTGGCCGCGCCGGACGAGCCGGCCTGGCTCAGCTACACGGTGTGGTGAGCACTGCGCGATCGGTGACGCCGGCGACGACGCGACGAGGAGGGCGGCGTGCGCCGAGGAGGCGGCGGCGAGCGCACGGCGACCGGGCGGCGAGACGCAGGGGTTTCTATCCGGCCCACGTCGGCCCAGAAGGCGTTGTACATGTACGCGTCGAAGGTTGCCAATGCAGGCGTACATGCTGGTCAGACAAACCCAACTACAGTGAAGGTACGTGTGAGGAGGAGGGAGGAGGGAAGGGGGATCGGAGCAAAGGAGGGGCGCAGTGATGTCATAAGTGGAGGTGAAGAGAGAAAGCTGAGTAGTGTGTGGCAGCAGAGGTGGGATGAAGAGAGTAATGAAGATGTTGAGCAGACTATGGTTAGAGGACAAATAATTTTGATACGCTAGATAATCCTATCAATCAAAAATTCTTTATCGTGCAAAATCATTAATTGTGTAAAATCTTTATCGGCATCATGGATCTATCAGTGTACATCTTACTTCTCGCATTTTCTTCACTTATAACTTCTATCTTTCACTGGATATACCAGAGGTATTTCACTGTCCTATACCAATGATCAGTAGCACACCGTGTCATTCATGTTGTCTCACGTTGTCTCATGTTGTCTCATGTTGTCTCATGTTGCCTCACGTTGTCTCATGTTGCCTCAGGTTGTCTCACGTTGTCTCACGTTGTATCACGTTGTCTCATGTTGCCTCACGTTGTCTCATGTTGCCTCGTGTTGTCTCATGTTGTCTCATGTTGTCTCACGTTGCCTCACGTTGTCTCATGTTGCCTCATGTTGTCTCGTGTTGCTGCAGTCTGCGGAGGTTGAGGCGAAGAAGCAGCTTAAGATCTCACGGGAGCTAGCTCGATCAGCGGCGTCTGCTGACGTCGTATCGCGAACGAAATCAACCCCGACTCAGACCTGCTCAAGTTCAACCAACTGAAGGTGAGAACCGTGTAACAACATAGCTGCATACAACAACAACATGCAACATGCAGCAATATAAACGTGCAACATACAATATGCAACGTACAACATGCAACTTACAACGTTCAACATACGACATTCAATATACAACATGCAACACGCAAATTACAACATTTAGCATACAATATGCAACATACAACATTCAACATACAATAGCAACTTACAACGTGCAACATATAACATACAACTGCTCTATACGGTATCTGAGTGATACTGTCTGATCCTCTGCTTGATGTTGTAATGTAGCTATCTGAACTGTCGACTGAGTGTACACTATGACACACTGTTTTACTATGAGATACTGTCAGGCATGTACTTGACGCTGTGTTTACTCTGTGATATTCCTCAGGTAGCTGCACTGTACGACTACTCAGTGACTACCGGCTGTTACACAACTTACTGACACATATATATATATATATCAAGAGCGTATAAAGAAGGAGAGCGTACAACGGTGAATGCTGAAACCATGCTGCAGTATTAGTCGAATTAAATAAACTTTCCCCGTGTATTTGACGATTTCTTTGTGGTATTATTGATCAGCTGTCCTAACCTTTGCTAATATATAAACAAACCGCTTGTTAGGAAACAAGGTAGGACAGCTGATCAATAATACTGCAAAGAATCGTCAAAATAAAACGGGGAAAGTTTATTAATTCGACTAATACTGCAACATGGTTTCAGCATTTTACCGTTGTACGCTCTCTTTCTTTATATGCTCTTGATAATATATATATATAATATATATACTTGATATGTTTACTATACGATACTGCTGACATGATATGCAATACTGCTTGATATCTACTCAATGCAATGATATTACGATGAACCTGCGATACTGTCAGATAGCTATGACGTATATACTATAACTATGCCACGTCCTCTTACGTTAAGGATGGCATCTGTCATTATGGCTATATTATTTTACTATATATCACTATATTACGGCTATGTCGTTAATATCTCTGTGCTCTAACGTTGGACACTGTCAGATAGCTATGACGTATATACTATAAACTATGCCGCGATGCCTGACCCGGTCCCACAGTCGGGGATTAACTCTTAACTCTGAGTTAAATTTCTTAACTCAGGGTTAAAGTTAATCCACGACTGTGGAACCGGGTCCTGATGTTAACCTTTGCATCTCTATGACTATATCTTCTATATTTACTATGTGACTATATTACAGCTATATCTTTAATATCTTTATGGTTCTAACGTTGGCATCTGTCATTATAGCTATATTTACTACGGCTATATATATATATTACGGCTATGTCGTTAATATCTCTGTGGCTCTAACGATGGCACATCTCTCTGGCACAGTTCCGTAAGAAGCATCTGAAGTTTGCGAAGAGCGCAATACACGACTGGGGGCTGTTTGCGATGGAGCCGATCGGAGCAGATGAGATGGTGATTGAGTACGTGGGGCAGCTGGTGCGCGCGCGAGTGTCCGACGTGCGGGAGCGCAGGTAGGTGCCTCCACCACCTCCGCAAAACATCATTCGTTTTGTTCTTTCATTTGTTAGTTCTAGTTTCATTAGGGTTACAAGATTGGAACAATTTTTTCCCATTCTAAGATTCGAAACTATGGATAATAGAGCTTACTTCACTATAATGCAGTAATTATATATAGTAGATCTAATAAAAAGAGATGGTATTTGATCTCAGTCAGCATGATGTGTGTCTGCGTGGTGAAACTATAGATATAAAGATTGTTGACTATAATGCCAGTAATTGATATCTAGAGATCTAATAAAAAGAGATGGTATTTGATCTCAGTCAGCATGATGTGTGTCTGCGTGGTGAAACTATAGATATTAAAGATTGCTTGACTATAATGCAGTAATTATATATAGTAGAGCTGTAATAACAGATGGTATTGAATCTCAGACAGCATTATGCATTTGTGTGTTTGTGTGCAACAGGTATGAGCTTTCGGCATCGGCAGCAGCTATCTCTTCAGGTCGATCATGAGATGGTCGTTGATGCGACGAAGGACGGTAACATGGCCCGCTTCATCAACCACAGCTGTAATGTAAGTACATGCCACCCTACCTGCCTGTGTATGTGTTTGTGTATGTGCGTGCATGCGTGCGTGTGTGTGTGAAGGACGGTAACATGGCCTCGCTCCATCACCACGAGGCTTGTGAATCCCGTAACGTACTGACTTCGGGTAGCCCCTACCTTTTCCCATGCCTGGGTGGTGTGTGTGTCGTAATGTACGCCCTCACTGCCCGCATTGGCACGCACTTAACCGCGTGCGTCGACACTGTGATCATGTGTAATCCAGAGGATGGTAACAGGCTCCTCCCCACATCACCACGTAAATCATCAACCAAGGCAGGTTAGGGTTCATCAACACGGCCGAGCTGTGAATGTAAGTTACATGGTGGCCAATGATCTACCTTACATCTAAAGCAGCGTGGTTGATGAAGGCGCGCCATAGTTACCGATTGCCCTCGTTGTATCAGTCGTTCTAGTGTATGTGCGTGCACACCGTATTGGTGTGCGTAGGAGGGAGGCGCGTGGGCGTCCGCGGCAATTTGAGTAGGATAGGCGATGTAAATTACGGGACCTCGCACGCACGGCCATATCACAGCGAGTGATGCGTGTGTGTGTGAAGGATGGTACATGGCCCGCTTCACTCAACCACAGCTGTAAATCGTAAAGCTAACATGCACACCACAGGCTAAGCCTGTCCTGTGTGAAGTGGTGGGTGGTGGTATGTGCCGTAGCGTGTTAGCCGTAGCGGATGATGTGAAGTGCGAGAGGCGTGAGTGAGCGTGGTTTGATGCAACGCTCCAGGCAAGCACAGCTGTTAACGCTAAGTACTATGCCACCGTCCTTCTACACACACCAACCCTGGCACTGTGTATAGTCGTTTGTGGCGTGCCGTCGACGTGCGTGCGTGCAGCAGTGCGTGCGGCGTGGTGGGCGTGCGTGCAATGCGTGTGTGTGTGAAGGAGGGTACACCAATCGCCAGCTTCATACAACCCACAGCTGTAACTGTAAGTCACAATACCACCGCGGCTATTCTGCTGTCTGAGTGTTGGGTTGTGTGACGTTGTTGGTTCACTGAAGCGTTGCGTGCAGGCTGTTGCGGTGGCGTGCGGCTGTCGTGCGGTGTTGCGATGGCGTCCGTGTGTGAAGGCACGGTGTAACAATGCCGCGCTTTCATCCAACCTCACGCTGTTAATGGTAGGTTAACTACCGATGCCCACCTACCTGCCTGTGTACAATGTGTTTTGACGTGCGTGCGTGCGTGCGTGCGTGCGTGCGTGCGTGCGTGCGTGGCGTGCGTGTGTGTTGAGCGAGCGGTAACATGGCGCCGCTCATCAACACAGCTGTAATGTAGGTACTTATGCGCACCCTACCTGCTGTGTATGCCTGTTGGGCGTTCCCGCCTTCACGAACCATCGCGTTCACGTCCCGGACCCGTCGGAAGATAGCGATGGCGCTGCGTGCGTGCGTGTGTGTGAAGGACGGTAACATGGCCCGCTTCATCAACCACAGCTGTAATGTAGGTACATGCCACCCTACCTGCCTGTGTGTGTGTGTCTTTCTCTCTCTGTCTTGCAGTCTGTCTCTATCGCTCTCACTCTCTTTCTCTCTCTCCCTCTCTCTCTGTCTACCTGTCTGTTTTTCTCGTGCTCTCTCTCTCCCTCTCTGTCTCTCTTTCGTACTCACTCTCTGGTTCTCCCTCTCTCTCGTACTCACTCTACTGGTCCCCCTCTCCATCTCGTACTCACTCTCTGTTCCTCTCTGCTCTCTCGTTACTCCTCTCTGGTTCTCCTCTCTCTCGTACTCACTTTCTGGTTCTCACTCTCTCGGCTCGTACTCTCTCTCTGGTTCTCCTCTCTCTCGTAACTCGCTCTCTGGTTCTCCCTCTCCTCGTCTTCCTTCTCTCTCCATCTCCCGTGCACGCTCCTTTCTCTCTCTAGATCTCTCCCTGTCTTCTCATGCTCTTCTCTTTCATTCTATCATTCTTTGTCCTCCCTCCTTGCTCCATCCCCCGCTCTTCCTCACTCGTATTATATCCTCACCTACCATCCTCCTCGCGTCCAACCCTTCCCGCCTCTCATATATATAGTATATATATATATATATATATATATATACACGTTTGTACATGCTGGCTAACACGTCAGCTGGCTTGTCCACTTGCAGGCCCAACTGCTACTGCAAAGATCATGCAGTGGTTGAGAACCAGAAAGAATTTGTCATCTACTGCGAGCAAGGCCGCTCGATGTCACATGAGGAGATCACCTAGCGACTAACAATTCCCGATCGATGGAGCGACAAGGGAGTCCAGCCCGTGCTGTGGCGCAACGCGCACGGGATGCCGCGGCTTCCTTCAACTTAACGTGGCGCCCTCTCTGTGTGTAGGGTTGCTCGTGGCGGCGCCTCATCTGTGTGTAGGTTTGCTCGTGGCGCCCTCATCTGGGTGTAGGTTTGCTCGTGGCGTCCTCATCTGGGTGTATGGTTGCTCATGGCGCCCTCGTGCCGCTGTGTGTGGCGCCCGTGGATCCTCGGCTGTGGATCTTCCGTGTTATCGCTACATGGAAGTGCTACAGACATTGGTCACCTAACTTGTGCAAGTTGTGACGGTGTTGATGGAGTGCATGAATGCTTGGTGGTATTTTGGGTATCACCAAAGGTTACTGGAGCTGCCACGAGAGGGTGCCGTATGACTCGGCACAGGTGAAAATGCTGGATGTTTACCAAACAGTGTCACTAGTAAGGTGCGGTGTAAGCTAACTGAGGCGTGACACGAAGTGATTACGAAAAACCGTTGACAAAATAACCGTACCTACGGAAAACGCTCAGTTTCATGAGCCCATCTAGTACCATTGGGGGGGGGAGGGGTGTCGCATGTGTAATTTAGGAAAATGGAAGAAGGGGGGATCTTGTATAAGCATGTCTACGTCTACATGTACTTGTGTATATATATTTACGTGTGGGATACGGCTGTGGCTGCGTCACCGTAGGGCAGCGTGGCGTTGTTCTGGTACCGATACTGGTTTCTCACATTTGCATTTGTTAATAAACGTGTTTGTGCGCACGTGCGTGTGCGTGCGTGTGAAGGTGTGCATGTGTATAGAACTTAACGCTGGTGATCCCGGTTTACAATGAATTTTCTACGTATTCGTTCCCGCGCGCTCGTCTGACGAGACGAGAATCTGGCGTGGACGGTGTTGCCCCCTGCTGGGCGCGTGCATGCCTCCTTAGCTGTACATAACCTGGGGCACGTCTAAGGCACACTATACCTCTCTCTCTCTGTCTCTTTATTAGTGTAAATATCTCGTGTGCAATCCGTTGTTTGTCCGACGTAACGTTTGTCCGACGTAACGTTTGTCGTGTGGTGTGTTCGGCGTTCTGTTTTTCGACTGCGAGTGAGCACCGTGTGTGTGTGCGTGCGTGCGTGCGTGCGTGCGTGCGTGCGTGTGAATGGTAATATTTTATACGACGGTATCGAACGGTTGGAAGTTTTGATGGGAATCGTATTGTCACTGTGGCATGTTAGACTTCCTCCCTATCACAAACGTCCCCCTCCCCTGTACGTTACACGTGCGCATGGGCGTTTCTAGCAGGACACATGGCGAATGAGGATTTTACCTTTATTGCTCTTGCGCAATGTATTGGGGCGTTTTGTTATAGAGGGGATATCTAGCATGCTACGCTGGATTTTGCATCGTATTGCTTGCTGGCGAGAAAATACCGGGCGGGCGGGACAAAATAGACTGGTTCCCAGTCCCTGCACATCGTTAACACCTCGTTAATCTATTAATGAAGGGAAACGATGGGGTGTCAGTCTAGCGATTGAACAATGCGATGCGTGTGTGCTGATGATGCCCAGTATGGCTATCTCTTCTCGGTAGACTGGCTCCTCGCTCTACGTGTCAGCAGCTGTACACTGTGATGACGAAGCTACAGGTGACAGTCTACATCGTGCACAGACAGACAGCCGCGTTTCTATATCGGCTCGTGTAATGTTTGTAAAAATATTTTCTGACAACTGTCCTTTGCCTATGTATTCAGTCAATAAATATATAATACAACTTTAAGCATGTGTCGTGTTTGAGTTACTTGCATTTTACTTTGGATCATCGATCATGGTTCCCACAACTACAAGTGTGAATTATTTTTTCAATGACTTTTCAAGGACATGTCTTTTTCAAGGACAATCTGTGACAAGTAGTTTTAGGTTTTTAGAGTCATTATATTGTACCTTAGATTCATATATAAAGTAAAAATAGTTGTTTTACACAAGTGCCGACAGCAGATTAAACGGCCACTATAACTCGCCGATTACCGACATACAATAGTTTCATGTCACAGTCCTGTAACAATATGTAAAGCTTTGATGTAACATGTATCACTCAGAACTATGTATCATATAATGTACTGTATCACTCCGAAATTTTATGATTTTAACTGCCTAACACTAATCACTATTGCATTTATCAGATTTTTTCTTCATGAAAAAGACTGTCTTCAGTACATGTATGCAGCAGAACGAGAGCGCCATCTGTCGTGGAGTTTGAAATAAAAGTAATCACTTATTCCTTACTCCCCTCTCGTGGATGGTATCGCCCATGTCCAGTCAAGCATGGAAAAACATTCAACAGAAAATGACCGTATTTCAGCCGAAACTTTTTCACTCACCGAGGCACAAAATGTGAATTTACGCCTATAATACACGCGCACGCGTGCGTGTAACCATAGACGCATGTGTGCGCCCGGTCGCGTGTGTTTGTGCGGCTGTAAAAACGCGTATTATAGCCGTATCTCCACATTTTGTGCTTTTGGGGGGGGGGGTGAAAAAGCTGAAGCTGAAAACCAGCCATTTGTCTGGCTAGCTTTTCACCGTGCAACTGATGCCGTGGGCGATACTATCCGCGAGAGGGGGAGGGAAATACTGAGGGGAAGGGAGTGAGAGGGGATGAGGAAGGAAAGAGGAAAGGAGGGCGGGACGGAGGGAGGGAGGAATGCAGACGGAGATGTGCACACGCGCAGACAAGCGCACGTACGGCATAAACGGCACACACACAGGCACGGATGCACATATTCCTTCTAATATAGTTACTTCTCTCGCCTTCCCGCTCACCCTCTCCCTCTCTCTTCACGCACGCACACACGCATACTCTCTCTTTCTCTCTCTCTATCTGTCTGTTTCTGTCTGTCTGTCTCTCTCTCTCTCTCTCTATCTGTCTGTGTCTGTCTGTCTCTCTGTCTCTCTAACGATTAGTTTAGAGAACGTATAGTGGTGCTTCTATACTTCCTCTCACTTTCCTCTAATTCTGCGTTTTCTCCTGCAGTAACGATTAGTTTAGAGGAAGTAACGTCCTTCTCTCCTTCATCTGTTTGATTCCTTCATCTCCTTTCTCGCGCAGTAACGAGGCAAGCATCGACGTCGAGACCATCGAGACACCGACGACGACGACGACAAAGCCCAGTGGCAAGCGCGACGACTTCATCGGAGTCTACGAGACCATCTCCTCGCTCCTGCACAAGGCTCCCTCTCCCGGCGACCCCTCCGTTGCCGGGGGCGACGACGCCTCGTCCCCGATGCTCGTCGACCACTGCTACAGCCTCCCGCCGAGCAACCGCCCCGCCGAGAAGCCGGGGCGCCCCCTGGCGAGCATCGAGAATCGGCCGCTGCTCGACCACGACTACCTTCTCGGCGGGAGAGATGAGGACACGATCAGCTCGGCGATCGACTCCGTGCTCGGAGCGCCCCCTGCCGACGCCGCCGTCGCGAAGCCGCCGCGCTCGCGGAAGCGCCCCCTGCCGGTCCCCGTCGTGCCGGCGAAACCTGCCCTGCCGGTGCGGCGGAGGCCGACGCTGGCGCCGCGCAACCAGTTCGACGAGTGGCGCAACCTGTACGAGCTTCTGAACTCGGGGGTCGACGCGGAGGACGTCGCCTACCTGCGTCGCGGCTACGAGGCGATGATGGCGGTGGCCGCGCCGGACGAGCCGGACTGGCTCAGCTACACGGTGTGGGTGGAGCACTGCGCGACGGTGACGCCGGCGACGACGACGAAGAGGAGGCGGCGTGGCGCGGAGGAGGCGGCGGCGGCGCACGCGACCGGGGCGGCGAGGACGCAGGGGTTCTATCGGCCCACGTCGGCCCAGAAGGCGTTGTACATGTACGCGTCGAAGGTTGCCATGCAGGCGTACATGCTGGGTCAGACAAACCCCAACTACATGAAGGTACGTGTGAGGAGGAGGGAGGGAGGGAAGGGAGGATCGGAGCAAAGAGGAAGGGGCAGTGTATGTCATAAGGTGGAGGTGAAGAGAGAAAGCTGAGTAGTGTGTGGCAGCAGAGGTGGGGATGAAGAGAGTAATGAAGATGTTGGAGCAGACGTATGGTTAGAGGACAAATAATTTTGAATACGCTAGATAATCATATCATCAAAATCTTTATCGTGCAAAATCATAATTGTGTAAAATCTTTATCGCATCATGGATCTATCAGGTACATCTTACTTTCTCGCATTTTCTTCACTTATAACTTCTATCTTTCACTGGATATACCAGAGGTATTTCACTGTCTATACCAATGATCAGTAGCACACCGTGTCATTCATGTTGTCTCACGTTGTCTCCTGAAAGGACGGTACATGGCGCGCTTCATCAACCACAGCTGTAATGTAAGTACTGCACCTACCTGCCTGTGTGTGTGTGGTGTAGGTTGCGTGCGTGCGTGCCGTGGTGCGTGCAGTGGCGTGTGTGCGTGTTGAAGGAATGGTAACATGGCCGCTTCATAACCACAGCTGTAATGTAAAAGTACAATGCCACCACTACCTGCTCTGTGGTGTGTGTGTGATGTGTGTGTGTGTGTGTGTGTGTTGTGTGGTGGTGATGTGGTGTGTATGTGTATGTGTGTAGTGGGGGTGCTGCTGTTGCGTGCGTCGTAGGTGGCGTTGCGTGCGGTGTTGCGTGCGTGTGTGTGTAGAAGGATCGGTTAAAACATGGCCCGTCTTCATCACCAAGCTGTAATGTAAGTCATGCACCCTTACCGCCTGTGTGTGTGTGTGTGTGTGTGTGTTGTGTGCAGTGTAGCAGTAGCTGTGCTGTGCAGTGCTGCGTCGGTGCGTTTGCGTGCGGCGTGGGCGTGCGTGCAGTGCTGTGTGCGTGGCGTGTGCTGTGCGCGTTAGTGCGTGCGTGCGTGAGGATGGTAACATGTGCCCGTTCATCAATCACGCTGTCAATGTAAGTACATATGCACCCTACCTGCCTTGTGTATGTGTTACGTGTGCGAAATGAAATGCGTGCGTGCGTTGGGTGCGTGCGAATCGTACGTGCGTCGCGCGTAGGCGGCGTGGTTGTGTGTGAGGACGTAAACATGCCCGCTTCATCAACACAGCTGTATGGTAAAGTTACGCCACCCTACTGCGGTGTGCCACTGTATATGTGGATTGCGTTGCGTGCGTGCGTGAGTAGCGTGGTAGGTGCGTGGTGTGTGTGTGAAGGACGGGTAACATGGCCCGCTTCACAACCACAGCTGTAGATGTAACGTACATGCCACGCCTACTGCTGCAATGGTGTCGTGTGTGCGTGCAGTGCGTGCGGGTGCGTGCGTGCGCGTGCGTGGTGGTGTGTGTGTGTAAGGACAGCGTAACATGGCCCCGACTTCATCAACACATCTAGTATGTAAGTACAGCACAGCTACCTGCCTGATACATGTGTGTTGTAGTGTTGCTATGTTGTATGTGTGTGTGTGGTAAGTACGCCATGTGCTGGTGCGTGACGTGTGCGTGCAGTGCGTCCTGCGTAGCGTGCGTCGGTGCGTGGGTGTGTGAAGGATGTAACAGGCCACCGCTTCATTCAACCAAGCTGTATGTAAGTACATGCACCCTACTGGGTATTGTGTATGTGTGTGTGTGTGTGTGTGAAATTGCGTGCGTGGTGAGTGCGGGCTGCGTGCGATGCGTGAGTGCGTCCGATCGCCGGTGCGGTGCAGTGCAGTCGTGGTAACGCGATGGACTAACATGGCCCGCTTCATCACCCACAGCTGAAATGTATAGGACTATGCCCGACCTGCCTGTGTTGTGTTTGTGCGTGCGTGGTGCGCTCGGTATCTATTGCGTGCGTGGTGCTGTTGCGTGCGTGCGTGTGTTCAAGGACAGGTAACATGGCCCGCTTTATCAACCACAGCTCGTATGTAAGTACATGCCACACTACCTAGCCCTGGTGTGTGCGTAGACGTGCGTGCGTGCGTGCGTGTCGTGCTGTGCCGTGCGTCAGTTTGCGTAGGTGTGTGTAAGCTCTAGTGTAACATGGCACCGCTTCATCAACCACAGCTGTAATGAAGTACAGCGCACTACGGCCTGTGTGTGTGAGAAGGCGTTCTCTCTCTGTTTGTAGTCTTGTCTCATATCGCCTCAATCTCTCCTCTCATCTCTCTCCTCTCTTGTTACTTGTCTGGTTTTCTCTACTCGGCTCTCTGGTTCCCTCTCTCTCTTCGTTTACTCATCTCTCTGGTTTCCCTCTCTCTGTACTCGTCTCGCTGGTTCTCCTCATATCTTACTATCTTGTTCCCCA